TTTTTTTTTAGCAGCAATGTTTAGCTATTGTACAAAAGTGGTAAAAGTGACTTTGTTTTCCAATAGCCATGATGTTATTATTGTCTGATAACTGCATGGCTCCAATGCAGACTGTTCTACAACAGTCCTAAACCAGTGGACATGGCAGGCAGCCTTGACTGTGGCTTCTTTATCTTTAGGGAACAGTGAAGTTTAACAAAGACACAGAATGACACCTTAAATCTCATTTTAGCACACTACTTTTTACATGTATGTTATACATTCATACACATCCATGCAAATATGTAAAGGTCATGACAAATGTGGATCCTAACAACAACAAGAAAGGCTGTTGGTTTTTAGAGGTCATGGATTATGTTTTATGTATACATGGACTGTCATGATCATATTTACAGTGTTGTTGTTTGTGCGTTGGGGTCTGCAGGTATTTAACTCAGCAGTTTACCACATGCTGTGTGAGGCTCTGGGCAGGAAGCTGACAGCAGACGAGCGATTGGCTGTACAGGCCCTCACCGCTGACCCCTCAGTCGCTGCCCATGACCCTAAAGAATACTCCCCTGCATGTAGGTGCCAATTTTTATATACAACATTTTTAAGTAAATACCTAAAACTTGGAATTTTATCAGTCAAGCTTTACATCGACTGTGCTGCATATTTATTCCACTTTAACAGTAAATAAAACTGCTAAAATATGTGGATTTAAGCGCCGCATGACACCTTCTAAACCAAAAGCCTGTTGACATCAAAGTAAAGCTGTACGGCTGTAAACTGAATTAATTCCAATACTTATCTCTGTTTTTTTTTAAACAGTGTGTTTCACTGAATCATATTTAATAGTTTTCATATTTTAATTTTCACCCACAACTTGCTTTTCTTTTTTTTTTTTTCTCCCTGCTGTCACTCTGCTGTTAAGTAGATGCAGATTTAAAGCCCCCAGAAATCTGGAGAGACAGGCAGCCAACAGACAAGGAGCTCAAGGCAGTCCCCGTTCTGCAGGCTGGATTCAAAGGGCAGTTGGAGCAAGAGGTCCTTAATGCCTCAAAACCTGGTAAACATGCACACACACACACAGAGAATGTATTCATTTTGGTAGTTTTGATCAGTTTTTGGAAACACTGTATGTTATTAGACAGGGCTTTTCATTACTTTCTGTTTTAGAGCTCTGTGAAAGAAGGACTGACACATCTGTAACAACTGCAGAAGGCCAGAAAGGCTATAATCGAGTGAAAAACAAACACAAAACAAGAAGTGAAAAAAACACAGCCATTGTTTCATTTGTAGATTACTATTTAGAGTCCGAAAAACACCCAACACACAAGCAAACTGTCTTCTGCTTCTTGCATTCATTGTTTGATTTAGCCTGATGGCATATAGTGAGCCTCTGAGCAGAGGCACAAATATGTATTGATGAGACTGCCACTCTTACTAACACACCCTGACAGATGAAGGGTAGCTATAGAGGGGATACACATACACACACACACACACACACACGTGCTCACAACATTTCTGCATCAACAACAAAACCGTTCATTAGTGACAGCAAGAGAAAGATGAGGTAGAGAAGACGGGGAAACAGAGGAACACATCTACGAAAGACTGACACTAAACAGAAAGCAGAGCGGCTCTTTTTCTCTCTCAATATATTCAGCAATGTTTCTGTTCTGCTGTTTAGTTGCCAGTTTTTACATTTGTGGAGGTTGCCAGCCATTTAGAAATTTTTCTCAGCATTAGTTGAAGCATTTTTAATCTGGTTTTAGATGTGATGTAACGACAATTATTGTAAAGTGAAGCTTTCCCAGAGTTGATTGCTGAGCAAACACTGGAGGTGACATATTATCCTGACATTCTCTGTTTATTGCCAGGGCCAGAAACTAACTGCCGTCTCTTGGCACAACACGCTGTCATTCTCTGAAAAACTTGCAAATTTGGGCTCATGTTAATACAGAAAAATAAAAAAAGCACTGGACTCTAGCATCAGTGAGATTTTGCCTAATTTCTTATGGCTTGAAATTGTGGCTTAAGCATCCCAAACGTCCAAAATACTCACATCATTATGAAACCCATCCGCCAGCAGTGCTAAGAAGTATCGCTGGTGGTTACGCGGACATTACCGTGAGCACACAAACACACGCAGACAGGCTCAGCAGCTCGACTTCTATGAAATTGGCCTGTCACGGTTAAATTCGCTCAAATTTTATTCACTGACTAGTCAAAGCACAAAGTGTTGCTTTCAAAGTGACACTTAGAATAATGACAAAAGTCAAATGTGAGGAACAACAGCAGTCTAATACCTCTTTAAGAAGAAAGCTGAGAACTGGAATACTGGCATTTTAGATGATCAAAATCACCAGCATGCATGTTTTTGACACGAGCTACAACTCAGTGCTTACCCCCATCTCTCTCTTTTTCTTGTTGCTCTTTTACAATTTGTTTTCCTTCCACTCTTACCTGTTTGCCTCTTTGTGTATCTGTATGTGTTCTCCCCCTGGTTATAAAGATGATAGGTCTTCATCGCTCAATAGCCAGCCTTGGCACATTATAATGTTCAATTTGGAAAGGTGGCCATTTGAGAAGAGAGCTGAGGGATGTGAGGTGGGAGAATCTTAGGACACCTTTGCCACATGCCAGATGTGAAAGAAAATTCAATCATTCAGCTGTCTCTTCAGAGCATTTCTCTCACTTATGTGCACAGGCGCACACACACACACACACACACTCATGAACACAGAGAAATTGTGTTCTGTCAGAGTGGTTACCTGTCTGCCAGCATGAGTGTGAAAGTTAATGTCAAGGTGGGAATAATCTCCTCCTATCACCTCTCACTGAACGAGGCAAATATGCATTCTGCAACTCCTACCCCGAACTAGGTCAGCTACAATCATTTTTTTATGTGCTTGACAGCAACATGGATTGTCTTTCATCTTTAATGGTCGCTACTTTTCTTTCTGTGCGCTCGTGTCATTCAGGAACGAAGGAGAATCTCACTGCGTCTAAGATCCTTTTGGAAATGTGGCCGAAGATTGAATCCGACGCCGACAGACACGCTGCCTTCTTGCTACGGTAAAAAAACACACAATACAATAAGTTAAAAAAAAGATGTCTTCACTATGCATCTTAATGCAATTATGTGAGAGGATATGAGCGCTCCTACTACCGCTCTGTGCCCGTGCCATGTACATGGTATGGCATGCACTTAGACTCTCTGTTGCACTGCATGCCCAGAATCTGCTCCCTCTCCTGGTTGCGGCAGCCTGTGGGGGCCATGCAGGGAGCATTTTCCACATTGTGTTCCATCTTTTCCCAGTGGTACCATCTGCTGTTTATACTCTCCTCGTTCCAATCGGCTAGCAGCGTCTGCTGAATGACCTGCTGCCTGGGGAAAGTATGTGTGTGCATGAGCATTGAAAGCTCGGTCAATGCGTGGAGGGGGGGGTTGCTTGGGTGTTGTGAACCTTTGAGCATGTGTTTTTCTTAACTGACAGAAATATCCACTTCAGTCAAAGATCACGCTGAGAGGCAAAGTGCATCTCCTCTCCTCCAGTGAAGTCTTTTTTATTTATTTTCCTGTTTTTTTTAGTGTTTTTTTTTTCTCTTTCTACTGGATTTCTTTTATAATCCGCTACATAGAGAAGAAGTTTGTGCAAAGTGAGAATAGATTTTGTCGTGGTCTTTTCATGACATATATGGTTTTATTTGAAATTTCTAAATGTGTTCTCCCCCTGTTGTGTTGTCTTTACAGGTATATCATTGAAAATTCTGAGGGGAAAGCAGAGCTCTACCCCTGTCAACAGGATGAATCGGCCAGAATCACCTTTGCTGATTATTCCGTCTCTGTTCAAGACACCAGCAACTCCTGGCTCTTGATCTTTAGGTCGGACAACACCAGAACACAAACGTTATGCCAAATGAAATGACATCACCTTTACGTCACATATTCAGCTCTAATTTGTAAAGAGGATGTGGTGTAAATGCTTTAAATACTTGACAATTTAGTCAGACCTTGAAATTGGATTCTCTGTTGTCTGCTTTTTTGTTGTTGTTGCTTATACAGAGAGGTGTTCCTGGTTCCTGAGGAGATGCTGCTGGTACCACAGGTCCACTCCACAATCCCTAACTGTTGGCTGCACGTCATAAATAATGACACAGGAGAGGAGGTGGATACGATCGGCAGAGAAGTAGTACCCCATGTCTATCAACCAAATAAGGTCTGTGAATGCAAAAGAAATTTAAAAATAAATAAACTCTTACACTTTAACACTTCAGAAACTTTAGCCCGACTTAACTGGATGCAAACTTACGGTCCGTGCATCAGGACCAGATGTTGCTGCATAGCGTATTACTAATTCTAAATACTAACACTCATGATTAAATTTTCCCCGTATCTCTTGTCCCAGCTCGGTTTTACCTTTGTAGCAGAGAGCATCACACCTGAACTCACCCCTGCTGGCGCCACATGGAGGATGCGCCTGATTGGTTTAAAGGAACCCCTTCCAAAACTGTCCCATGAGACTCGACCCAATACATTCTCAGTGAAGAAAGTCCAGGATTATTACGTTCCCAATGACAAAAATCTCATTTGTCGGTAAGAGAACCATAAGGTGTATGTTTAATTGAAAGGTTCAGAAGAGGAACAGCATTGGTCAAATTAAATGTATTGTTATAGTTTCAAAGACAGGATTTACTTAAGGATGCTCTGAAAAAAGTAATAGTTCCACCATTATCTGAACCTTTTTGACAGCTACCGTGTGCAGGTGACGTCGGACACCCTCGGGACGATTCAGTTTCAAACTTCCAAGCCTGACGTGTTTATACGCCTGTCTGTTCTGGACCAGGAGAAGGAAGTGGAATGCAGAACAGGACAGGGCCATGTGACAATTCCTGTGTTCTATTTCCTGGCCAACACAGGTGAGCAAACATTAGGTGCAGTCAGTGAAGTAATTGTTGAATGAAGTCCTTCTGGATCACAGCAAAAAGATGTGTGCTTCATATTTGTCTGTCAGAAAGTTACATGTACAAGGTCTGCTTCCCGATAAATGTTTACCCAGTTTTCATTTTGAAATCTTTATTCTATCTTGAAAAGTTTACAGTTCGATATTAGAATTTGCCTGCGGTAGAGTCTATTAGGGGACAAGACAGACCAGCTTACAATGAGCATGACAATGAATTGGGGCTTTACCATTTGCAGTAACCCTCAGTGCTCCATGGCAGACATTATCCAGGGCGTGTAAGTGTTGCGAGAAGGCATGCATGTATAATAAATAAGAGCCTCCTCTAAACCTTTACACATACATATGGAGGAATGTTGGGTTTTATATGAGGTGTGTCCTTTTTACCTTCATGTGAAGTGGCAAATGTTGTATAGTGGGGGCTTTGATACTCCATATGTATTGATTTATGATTTATTAAGTGTCAAGATTTATTTCTTGAATTCAATATAATATTTTTTTGGAGTAGGGGTGCTTTTTTTAATCTACTATATGTGTGATTTGAAGTATATCCCATGTTCTACTGTTTTTCTTTTTGCATTTTTCCATGTAAATTATTCAACTATTAATGGTTTTTGCATGTTTAAGCACACCAGAAACCACTGAGCTCATCACACTGCTGGGGTGTGTTGTAAGGAGACGTGTAGCTAGCATGGCAAGGTGTGTGAATCAGGACAAAGCATTACGATGGCAAAAAAATTTGCAGTCTCCAAAAGGAGAAACTAAAGAAAGGAAAACTTTTTAAAAATTACTTCACCACAATAGTGATCCCTCCCGGCATAACATGGAAGACAGTGGGCCTGCCCTCCCAGTTCAAACTGGCCAATGAGGTCAGAGCTTTAAACGGATGTTGCCAACATCATTTTCTAAAGATTCTTCCAACCGCACGTCTCAATGTGTTGTTCCACAATCAGACATCCAGAAAAAACGAACCACGACTGCCTCCTTATGTATTTACCTTAATTACTTCATCATACATCATTTGTCCAATCAAATCTGAGACCCCACCTACTCGTCCTAACTCATGAGCGAGCTGCCTTTGGGGCGTGCCGCTCCTTGAAGCTCAAGAAGACTGCCACAAGGGACCAACTCTGGCAGGTGATGGTGTTGTTTTAATGGGCTGCTTCTTTTAAATTAACCAAATAAACTTGACTTTAAGGAGAGGCACAGTTCTGCCTGTAGCAACTGGAAGTGTATAAAAAACAGAGAAACATAATGGTGTGAATTACGACAACCTTTCTGCAGTGCTTGCTAACGGGGTGCACAGTGGGTGAATATCGATGTGGTTTTCTTTGTTAAAGAAAATGATCTTGTGAAAATCCAACTGAGATAAAAAATGTTGTCAGTCAAAAACAAACAAATGTGTCTTCAGGCAACAAGCTAGGCCCCTGCATTTTTCCCTTTCCATAACTGTGATTCAGTTCACAACATTGCAAGCAGGTTTTATTTTTCGCTATGCCTGGACTTGCTCAAGGCAGCAGGATGAGCCTCCTTTCTTTAATCATTTTCTGTCCCTTTTTTTCTGACACTGTCTCATGTTTGGGTTTTTTTTTTTTTGTTGTTGTTTTTTTAGGGACAATGTTCAGCTCCCTATTCCCAAAGAGATGAATAGTGGCAGCATTACTGTGAGCTAATGTGTAGTCTGTAAAAACACATTAATCTTGTTTATTCAGTATTATCTCCTGATCAGCCCTCCAGCCTGGAATTGGGCCAAGTGAAAATTCTGCCACTGTGGCATTTGCCAAACCTGAATTAAACTACACATTGTCTGAAAGCACAAAGCCTCGCGATTCAAACGATGTGAACCCTTTCAAGATACTAATATCACAGCAACACAAGCAGCAGCAGCAGCAGCAGTGCTTCCTTACTTTTTAATAAGGGGGTGTGCACACTAAGACGGTATTAGCTTTGTGTCACCGAGGGGCAAATACGACTTCTAAGAGTCAGACAAACAAAATTGCACTAAGATTTGTATTTTGTTTGAATGCGCTGAAACCTTTGAGCCATCCTGGAGTCCATTAGGAGTTGACCTGAGGATGTATGCTATTCAGACTCTAAGATGTTAAAATGAATCAAAGAAGGGCAGTTTGCACACCCTGCCCGTAAGACGTCGACTTTGCTAAATATCTCTTTTTCTGTTTCAGACCCCGGTTGCACAGATGAAAAGAACCAGAAGGGATCCCCCACCCAGGACGCTCCGCAGCACAGGAATGGGGCTCACAGCACAGTCGGGAAATCAGACTCTTCATCTGACCAGCTTCAGCCTCCCACAGAGACTATGGTATCACCGACAACTGTCTGCGTGGTATCTGCTATTGCTCCAACACTTAAGTGATCTCACTTGCATGTGCATCTCACTTTCCTTCTCTGTCTTTCTCACCCACTTGCTTGCTGCCTGTTCATATCAATTTTTCCTGCCAGATAACGCCTTGCTTGTAAGCGCACACACACACACACACACACACACACACACACACACACACACACACACACACACACAAATTTGCACTCACCCACACAGACACATTCTCACAGACCAAATTTTGACAAAAAGAGCAGCAGAAACTGGAGGGGTGGTTTTGTTGTTGCCGTCTGATTTTTATCTGCGCTTGTCAGGGAGCAGTGATTTGCGCATGATTTATGACTCACTGTATTGTCTGAATACCCCCTATCTAACAGACCTGTTGTCATAGTTCGACGGTTGCCAAAGCATATGGTATGCTCTATAAGTGTGTACCATCACACACTGGCATCCGCATGCACGTGGAGCACAAGTGCATACAGCTAGAAAAAAAACAAATCAACATTTGTTGATTTGTTTTGCTGTGGACGCCGTCGGTAGTACCAGCGAATGCATCTGGAGAACAACCAAACATTTAAATATTCCCTCAGCAATGGCTCCGTTTCACAGCAGTGAGTTAATAAACCTTTGAACCACAAGCAGATATCTTTGCAACAGACCGAATAAGATGTTTTTGTTTGAATCCTGCATGTGCTTCAGACATTTTTGACACCAAATCTCTTTGCTTAACAAACTAACGGTGGTTTTATTGAGACAGATTATATCAGATACCATTGATCAGCAGCCGGCCAGAACGAACAGCCATAAATCAGGAGCTAGAATTGATGAAGACGTAGAGAGAAGATTCAATGATTAAGGTGCCATGTAGTGTCACAGGGACACAACATCACACATATTGATGCTCAGTAATTGTGGATTAATGGTGAAGACAGTTTAAGTGTAATCAGAGTTAAACACGTGTAAGCCCATGAAAAACCAAATGCTGCCACTGTGGCTGTGGTGTTGCAGGTTTACATAAAAACACAATCACCTTCTCCAAAATGTTTTTTTTTTTTGAGTTCTAATACAGACTTAAAGGTTAACATCAGACAAAATACAACTATATCTAGCAAAATGTCCATTTACGTAGCGTTCTGCATGGCCGGCTCCGTTAGCTTGAGTCTCACCTTGGAATTTAGTCTAAATTCTGTCTTTGCTGCTCAGTGTGATGGATGTGGGAGTTATCACCCGTGATACAGTCTTGGCTAACAAGCCCTCTGCCTCCTCTCTCCCTTTGTGCAAAGCATGTGGTTCTGTCAAAGGGTCCAGAGAAAAGCAAAAACAAAACGTGTTGTTGTTCTTTAAGGTCTTTGTCTTTTTTTGTAATGTGTATATCTGTCATGTTTGGTTTATACTGCAATGTGGGTGTTTCATGCTAACTTTGCTTGTCTGTGTTTCACAGGGTCATAAGCACATGGTACAGGCAGAGGTGCTTCATAAGAGCTGGGATTTGGATGAATCTCAGTTGGCTTTTGTTCATATGCTCAAAGAGTTGGAGAAGAATGAGATGAGAGGTACATACTGAAAAAGATCACAAGTGCCACATCAGTCAGCCTTTTTGAAATGCTCAATCGATAGCCGGGAGGGTAAAAAGTCACACACACATATATATATATATTGTGCTTTCCTTGGATACACACATGTGTAAAGTTAATATCGTCACATGAATCTTGATCTGAATATGAAATCCACAATATGCATGATTAATTTCAGTATCCCCAAATATGCTTGTAATGGGCCATGAAGCAGTTCCCATTTCATGACGACAGTCATAAGTTAGTCAGCATCTGAGCCCTGGGTTCTGAATGGATTTGCTAATATGCCCTTCATGTTTGTTTGTGTGCAGCTTCTTTTTGTGTTCAGCATGAAATGCTGCTGATAGTCAGTAGGCAGTGTCAGGGGCCAAGGCAGACGCAGTTTATGCTTTGCTTCCGCTAGCCAGGGGCCTGTAATCACAAGCCTAATGAAAGCCAAATGAATACAGCTGCTTTCGCAGATCAGTGTGATTTCTTGTGCCCACTGGTTGTTGACTGAGGCAGTAATCCTGTCCTCTGCCACCAGCTCTGCTTTTCCTCCTTTAATCACACTGCACAATTTGAATCAATTGAAAAATCAGGGCTTTGAAATTTGCAGAAGCTTCTCAAAAATTTGAAGGGGATGAATAAAGCGCAGCATGAGTGGATGCTGATGTGAAAGGGAGGCTGCATGGGGACAGTTTGCATGACTGCATGAAGAGAAAAGCCAGTTATTGAATTCTCGTTCTCTTTTCTCTGCTGTCCCTGACAGTGATCCTTGTATTTATCCATTCAGTTTGCGTGGCATGAAATCTACAGATGATCTGTGTGTATGTGTCGTGTGCAAGAAGAACACTAATGATTTGTTGCTGCCCTAGATATGCTGCATGTTTACTTACATCTGGTTTCACTTTACAGAGTTATAACATTACGGTAGCGTATGCTCATGTTTGTCCGCGTATGTATAGTGTCCACACAAACCTCCTGTGTTTTCCCAATAAGCTTTTGAAAATGGGTCAATAGGATGTCAAATGAAGTTGGCTCTTGCCCCCTGGTGCCCTGGGAAATATCTCAGCAGGAAAGTGAATTAATTTCACCCAGTTTAACTCTGTCTCAGTGGTGAGGCTGTGCCCTTGATCATGCTCCCTACATGCTACATGGATACACACGCACTACATGCCACGGCAAGCTTTGAAACCTCTTTAACAAGCTGTTTAACAAGCTGTAGTCAAAAATACTGTGCTGCACATGTTTAATGCATGCACATTTCCACATCTCTGCTTTGAATCCCAATATATACCGTCAAAGCGGTCAGTTGTCAGCAGTTGAGGTTTGCGTTTTCATTTCCTTGCCAACCTCTGAGACGTTTTCATACTGGGCTGCAGATACAGAAGGATATAGGGTTTCCCTGAAAGAAGCTTTTGTTTTTTATTAAACTTTCTATTTAAGTTAGTTCATCTTAATCGGTTTTCAATACGTGTCTCATGCTTGAAACTACAACAACATAGACTGATGTTTAAATCCAGTTTGAACCCTGAATGTCTATATGACTGAAGATAAGAGAAACTCGATGAGCATGCACCAAAAGCTCTTCGGGCAGAATGGCAGGGTGTCTGCTAAATGATGGATTATTACGCCTCTGTATCGGAGAAGTGAGACTCAGAGTTAATGCTTCGTCTAAGCTGGGGATTGTGTTGGTTTCAGCTTTGAAGTGCAACAGTGCCATCTAGCACACATGCGACCACACAACACACTGGCGCTGTTTTCCACGCGGCCACTTCACATGAGCTTTACTGATGGTCAGTAAAATGTAAACAGCTTACATTCATAGTTTTAGCCTCTTTCATTGTAACCAAAAGGCATTTAGTTTACCTGTTAGGAAGAATAGAGTTTTTAGGGACAATAGTCGCTGCTTTTATGGAACACAGAATTCAATACTGTGTTATCAGTGTTTGGAAGTACACAACAGATTTTGTTGATGACAACAGAATAAGTGAATCTACTCGATCTCTTCTTCAAAATGCAGTACACAAGCCAGAGGATTCGAAGCCTTCATCCACCAGCGACACACCAAGCCGTGGGGGGCGCAAACATTCCAAGAAGCCAGCTGCCAACTCCAAATCTGGCTCCAGGAAGGAAATGGTAATATTTAACCACAGCACTGTGACAGATAACAACAAACACCACAATATTGTACACTGAAAACTAGGATCATTTATAATACTGTGTACTTATGATCCAGAACCTGAAAGATGAGATATAGAAGGATCCTTTTTTTTTTTTTTTAACCTTCTAACAGTGACCATGATGCTATACTAGAGCCAAACCTGTCATAATGAAAAATAAATAAGGAAAAAAAACTTAAATATGTCATTTTTTACATTTTCCTTTCATTTATCCATTTATTCATTGATATTTTTTTTACCCACTTTTTTAATTTCAACATTTATATTTATTCACACAGGCATTTATTTATTTATTCGTTACTCATTTTTTTTCCATATATATATTTACTCCCATAGGCATTTTTTAAAAAGTTTTTCCTCATTTAAAAAAAAACAAATCATATACATCTATTGTCCTATATATTTATTTCCACATTTATTTTTTTAATTTATTTTTTCCTCATTTTTCTTTATTAATTTCAAATATATATTTTTATTTCCATTTTTTTTCCCATGTTCATTTATTTTATTTCCGCATATATTAATTTTATTTCCACATTTATTTATTTATTTCTGCACTTATTTTTGCTTTTTAGAATAGAATAGAACAGAAATACTTTCTTAATCCCTTAGGGGGAAATTTTGTTGTTACAGTATAACGATAAGGTTACCACCACCATAAATACAGATAAATACTTGTCCTCATGTGCACACATTTATTTTCCCACTCTTCCACGTTTTTACTTTTCCTCACGGATTTTCCCTCAAACGTATGCTAATGAGGTACGCGTGTCCAACCTTGGCCTAAAGCATGATTGGTTAAAAAAAAAAAACATATATTCAATTATTTGTTTCCTCACTGATTCATTTATTTTTAATAATGAACGGTTTGGCCCTCCATACGATACAGCTAAGCTAACTGTGGTCTTTATTAGCTTTTTTTGCATTCGACTTTCTCATTTGATCGAGATGCAGTACAATATTTACCAAATAGAAGTTGGTGCACTGTTTGTCTTTTCTCAGTATTGTTAAGAGACGTTGCAGTGCTGTTGAGTACACACTGAACTCGTCTTCACAGCTTCCACATCACATGAACAGACAAGAGAGAAGGAAGACGTGCGTGTGTTCAGACTGAATAAGAGACACTTGTGTTGTCGTGCACTGTAATCTTGTGGCGTGTAATGCTCAGATTAATGGTCTTGGTTTAGTTGTCAGAACCACAGCAGCTTAATAAATTTCTCAGCCACATAATAAGTCTCATCTTGGCTACACAATGAACACAATGGAATTTGACATGCAGGTTTTGATAACACTGGTCCTTTTATTTTAAATTATTCTTTTATTTTCTTCCATTAGCAGCACAACTTTAGTGGAGGCCGAACAGGTAATGATCTCCCAGTAAACAAACCAATACGCCGTTTACCACAAAGATAAGACGTTTGAACAGGACGTGTAATCCATTGTTGGCTGTTTGTGTACCAGACTGAGTTGATAATTGAACGGGACATAAGATACTGTGACCTTCAGCTCAGATGTTTATGTGAGCATGTGTTTTTTCTTCATGTTTTTTTTTTCCCTCCTTGTCTGTACTTTCTGGTCTATTTGTGCAGAGCCTTGACCTAACCAAGCCAAACTGGACCCTGCATGTTGTCACTGACGAGAGCAAAGCAGAGGGCATCGAGGTGAAGAAAGACACGGAGAGAGCTGACCAGATTAAAGCCATTATAGAGTCCTGGGAAGTCGCTGAGCCAGGACGCCGTGTCAGGGTAACCCAGAAGTCCTTTTTAACTTAATGTCCACTGTATTCTCTATTTTAAATCTGATAAGTGTGATGTGAAACATACTCAAACATACACTACAGATGGAACGCTTTACTGTCTTTTTAGGCTCTACAGTCTCGTCTCAAGTATCTAAACCAAGTCCAACATAAAGAAAGCGATGCAGCTGCTACAGATGAACGCAAAGACGCTGGTATTGTGTTGTAGATGTACACACGTATACGTATTGATTTAGACCCTTTGTTTTCTTACTGGATGCATACAGTGTGGTATTCTCTGATTGTCTCTGTTGAGCTCCTGCATCCGGACCAGAACCTGATACCTCTCTCAGCTCATCCAATCAAAAGCTAAGCGACACCCCGAGCTCCCGTCCTCACATGGACTACAGTCACCTCATCAGGTAGTCCGCCGCTCTTTCTTCCTTTGTTACTCTTTTTTTCCCACATGTTTGACTGCTGATGCTGTTCTGGGGAAAGAAAAGATGAAAGTTGGCGTGACGATGAGGCCGCAGTTAATTGCTTCAAATGTTCCTTTGCGTTAAACACTGCTTACACCTGTTCCAGTGGAAAAAAATCCTTTTTTGATTAGATGGCGTTGGTGAAAAATATGACAATCAGCGGAGAGCAAAACATTATTTTATTGTATTTTTGTTTCTTTTTTTCTCCTCTATTAGAGTCCTTTGGGTAATCTGCAACACGCAGTCGAGTCTCCTTGTGTAGTTGTTGTATCACTCTGATGTTCCAGCTTTGTAGGCCTGAGTTAAGCTTTAGCTGCAAGGCTTGATAGCATGAGGGGATATTTTTATGTGTTCTGCATCTGTGCAGCGGATTGGTTCATACAGCGTCTGCAGGACTTTGTTGGTAATTTCCTGTGTTTAAGGCCTTCACTCCCCCCGGTGCATTGGACAGCAGCGTCACGTTGTAAACTTTCTGCAGAGGAGGATGATGTATGCTAGGGTTGAACAATATCGTGTTGCAGCGTTGTCATTGTGATGTGTCCATATGCAGTAGTGGCATCCCAGCAAATGCAGTGTGAAGGGAAGTTTTTTTTGCAGCTTGATACAAAAAGAAAAATTACACAGTTCTCATTTTTTTTGACTAAACTACAAGAGAAGTCTGATAGAGCATCATTTATCATGTTTCCTGGGGGCTGCATGGTGACTCGGTGGTTAGCACCATCGCCTCGCAGCTAGAAGGTCGCCGGTTCGCGCCCCAGTGAGGACACCCGAGTCTCCATGTTCTCCCCGGGTTCTCCGGCTTCCTCCCACAGTCCAGAAACATGTTGAGGTTAACTGGTGATTCTAAATTGTCCGTAGGTGTGAGTGTGCTTGGTTGTCTGTCTCTAAGTGTAGCCCTGTGATAGACTGGTTACCTGTCCAGGTGAGCCTGCCTCCACCCTGTGTCAGCTGGGTTCTACAATGACTTTTTTCAGAGAGTGGTATTCATGTAATCTTGTCAAAATGCCAACATTTTTTTTCATATTGCAGAAACCAAAAATATAGGAATTTGTTGTTGTTGTGCATGATTTATTTTTTACAGATATGTGTTTGTTTATACATAATTAACTCAACTCACAGTTATGGTCACAAGCAGCTTTGGCTTTCCTGCTTGTTCAACTTATCACTTTTGTCAGTGTAAGAGGTTTGAAGGCAAAGAGTTTCCCCCTGAGTCTCCCATTACTCTCCCTCCCTCCATCCCTCCCTCTGTCCATCCCTCTCCAGGATAAATGAGATGATATTTGGGTCTGTTAATTAGAGAGCTATTTCAGGGCCCCAACGAGCTCGTTGCTCCAATGAGATGTGCCCCTCTCCCATCACCTCGCCATCCTGCTGTGGGTGTGTTCGCATGTGTGCGGCCACACGTGTGTCCGGCTGCCAACGGCTGCTGACACCGTGGCCTGCAATCTGAGCCGAGAGAAACATCTTTGGGAGGAGTCTGTCCACAGTGTTTGATTATTCTGTAATACAGTTTTCTCATCTATGCAATCACACATTCATGCAGGGCATCTTTATAGCTTTGCACATGTTGTTGGATCCAGTGAAAGAGGTTGAACTCTGTCATATCCTCCATTGGCCTTCCTCTTCATTAAGATCAGCTTTTAGAAACATGTTGATCCTTTTCAGTGTCCACAACAATAAATGCCATGTTAGTTAAAAGCAACCCTTAACCGAGCAACACAAATACATGATTCTTGCAGCCAAAGCCAAAGAGGCTTCAATCTGGATGCACAAAAGATAAGGCACGGGATTGTGTGTCCATCATCTCCCCGAGCTATGGCTGAATTTGTCAACCATATTTCTATTTTTATTTGTTCTGCCTGCGTCAACATCCTCACATAATGTCCAATCTCACAATTTTCTGAGATGGAGATAAAAACACCAACTGGAGCACAGATTTACAGGAGTATAGTTTGAGATTTATTTAACATCTGACCTCAAAATATTCCCCTCACAGTTAGATGGAATGGCGCAAAGTTGTACATGTTAGAATGAGTCTTGATTATTCACAGTAAATACTTAAACTTTCCAGCATTAACTGTTCATTCTGGTTAAGAGGCATTACTGTAAAGGTACAAAAGGTTTCCTATCAGCTCTTGTGGTGGTGAATTGTGGTATACATCGAGTCCTTGTGTATGCATGCAGACGCCGAAAGGACTTTCCAGTGCTGATGGACTCACAGATGGAGGAGGAAGAGCAGAGGGAGCGCCTAGAAAAGATCCAGACCTACCAGCTGGAGCGAGAAAGTGTGCTGGAGCAACGTAAACAGGATGCGCTCAAGAGGAAGGCGCTAATAAGGCTTCAGAGGGAGATGTATGAGAGCATGCAGGTCAGTGAAACAGAGATGGAAGACAAAGGCGCCAATCACAAGCCGTTTTGGCTGTTGCTGCCTTTCCCTCTCGTGGCACATCATTCTGTAACTTCTTTTTCTTTGCCTCTCTTGTCTCCAGCACGAGCATCAAAAAGCACTTGATTCTCTCCAAGCCTTTCTTAGCAGTCAGATGGCAGCCGTGAAAAAGGAAGAACAGAAACAAGCTCTGGAGGAGGCCGAGCCAGCAGACCATTAGGCCTTAACATGTGTAAAACAGACCATCAGTCAATGGTGTTGTTTTGTTTGTTGGTTATGTTGTGGGTTAAATTGACCCGGGAACATGATTGCTGGGTTAATATGTTCAAGTTCTTTAAGTTAAGGTTCTTTGTCTTAGTTTAGTATTTAGAGAGCATCTACTTATTTGCCATCCCTCAGAGTCAGCTGATCAGCTGAGGAATGAGAAGCTAGATTAAAAATGAAAAGGACGAGGGTGCCATCTAGTGGCTCAGGACATTGTTACATGTTTATTACCTTGCCTGCACTTTGCTGTTGCAAGGTTGACAATAATAAATAGTTCAATTTTGTGCAGCTGCACGAGGGAAATTATCATTTGGTGTGTGTGGATGTGCAAGTGTGTACACACTACAGCTATCTGTGCCTGTTGTTGTGCCTATTTGTGCATCCTCCAGCATCCTGCTTCTGCTCTGAAGGTTTTGTTCCGTGTTGTTGACAACTCATTTATTAAAATTCTTGTTTTAAAAAAAAGTCCTTATTGTGATCGTAACTTAGGCATAAGAGCTCAGTTGATTAGATTCAAGGATGTTGCTGATTCAAGCAAACTTTCAGGCTAATTTATGAATGTGTTTATTATAAATGTGCCCCATCCATTACACTGCTATACACACATACTCGGAGCACAACGTCTACATGGGTGCATTACTCAGTGTTTTCTGTTCAGAAACTGTGCTACTGCTGCTTTGTCTGTGTGTCTTTGTCTCTGTGTGTGTGTGTGTGTGTTGCTTTGTCTGTGTGTCTTTGTCTCTGTGTGTGTGTGTGTGTGTGCGTGTGTGTGTGTGTCTGTCTCGCTCTGTGTTTTGTGTGTCTGTTCAGTCTGTCAGGCCTCATCTAGCCAACCACTATTTCTACCCCTGTAACTGCATGACAGAGCTAATCCTGAAAGCCTTGTTCCTGGCACAGAACATTCCCTCTTGACGTTGCACTGTTCCCACTTGCCCAATTCCTTCCTCCCTTTCTAAAACATTAGCAGTTATGTGATGGTCTGCGTGTGCCCTCGTCGTCGTCCTCCGTGTGTGCGGCTGGGTGGGAGCATGTGTGTGTGCGTCGTGGTATTTTGCTGTTTTGTTGAGATCACCCAACGCTCTAACCGACAGTGACGTGCGTTTATTAACAGAAAGGCTGTTTGTTAATTGGCAGCTGTTGGCCGGTGGTTTGATGCAAATGCGTTGTGAGTGACAGAAGAACTGGAGTGTAACCTTGAAAGCAAGGGGACGGTCGGCCATTTTGCGTGTGCGCGCATGTGCGACTGCATGTGTGACTTCGCAAAAGTAATGAGAAAATATTTGATTCTTAAATGGACCCACACAGAGGGATGATGAAATTAACTGAAACTAGATACACATTCCCCGAGTGGTGTGGAGAGACTGTGGTGGCTCTTTAATTCACTTTCCGTTCTGGGGGTAATAATTCAAGAAGGTCTTAATCAAGTTTTTTTTTGCTGTTGCTTTTTTTGTGAATGACAAAAGGGCATTCCAATTTGGAGGAAAATCTTTTCTTGATTATGTTCTCCTTTTGTAAGGGAACATCTGGGTCAAACCCTGTCTGTGAGTGCGTGTTCACAGCAGAACATTAAAACCACTGATCGGTGAAGCTGCTGATCCTCTTGTTGCAGCGCAATGTTCTGCTGGGAAATGATGCATCCTGGCACTCATGCGAATCTTACTTTGACACTCAACCCCCCCCCCACAACAAGCACACCCGGGCAGCTGTGGCTCAAGTGGTGGAGCGGTTGTCCTTTTGATCGCAAGGTTGATGGTTCGATCCCCGGCCACAGTCGAAGTGTCCTTGGGCACGACACTGAACCCGAAGTTGCTCCCAATGTCAGGCAGCTCTGTCGCCATTGTAAAGCGCTTTGAGTACCACTGAGGTAGAAAAGCACTCTGTAAGTGCCACTCCAGTAGCCTCCCCGTTTAGTAGGGCAGGTGACTTGATGCTTTGTTGGTCTGTTGCAGGAAATGACTTCTAGAATCACAGTCAAGAACCCAAATCTAACACACAAAGTATTCACAACAGTAAAAGAAGTACTGAAGATTTAGAAGGAGGCAATAAAACATTTGAAATATGTATTGTGCAAAATATACTGTATAAAAAAGTAAGAAATATGTGATGCATGTATAAAAATACCATAAGGTTCTCAGGATTGACTTGAGGAACACAACCAGGAGCCCAAAGTATTGATCCCTCCTAAAAACTAAGTGCTTAGAACCTTTACTTAAGCAAAAGTACCACACAATGAAGTTACTCCTTTTGAAAGCGCTGCATTCAAAACCTTACTTAACTAAAAGTATTTTAATATTATCAGCAAAACATGTGGCATGTAGAAGTACTCCATATTAATGTTTTTCAGATTAATATTGCTGCTGCATTATTGCACACGCTACATCTTACTGCTGTAGATGTTTGAGCTTGTTTTAAACTAAACTTCATATATTTAGTTGTTTCATCTACAACAGTGCATAATATTCTATAAGATCATATAGTGTTGTCGTCCTGTGAGAACCACGCATCTTTGAAAACATCACTGCTTTATGTCAGTTTTATTTTATCTTATAGATAATCCAAGAAGCAGTGTTCATAGAAAAAATCACGAAGGAACGCTGAATCGTTCTGTTTATCGCAAACATTCAAAATCTCTATATTTGGAGATGCATGGTTTTCACACTGTTCAGGAAGGGTAGGAAAATTGTAATCTTAAAAGTAATCTGTAACTAAAGGTGTCTGTTAAATATAGAGGAGCAACGAGTATAATATGTGTCTCTGAGCTGTAGTGTTGTAGAAGTGGTGGCACAAAATGGGAAGTTTGTCCTTAAGAACAGCACACGGCTAAGAGGACGTTCCACCATAATGGAGCTATAATGTTTCTCACATTCCTTATTTTCATTTTAACATGCTAATACTTGCTGAATATTATTAGTACCAAAGACAAAAGACAGCTTGGACCAATAGGAATGTTAATGCTCCACCATGTGATGGTTGTGAACCTGCTGGTGGTGCTAGCGCAACACAAAAGCTGTCGGTTGTCTGTTGTACAGCGATGTCTGTACTGCATTGTAAATATTGTACTGTCAAGACGTACTACTAGAAAGTAAATATGTGGGCCTCATGGTGGCTCTACAGTGAGGTAGAGGGATCACTAAAGTCATCTGCATGTACACAGGAATGGCCCGTCCTTTATCCATATGTCAAACTGAAATAACGTAGCTGCTGTAAATGTTGACTTAACGTGACCTACCTTCACCCTTCACCAGCAGCGTGGAGTAAATAAAGCCTAATGATGCACATCCTGAGCCTTATTTAGTCCCTGCTACCACCAGCCACCTACATCATTCAATCATGCACCTCCTGATTTCTAAAGTGTCGACTTATATCACATTCAGTCTGTGAACCTGTCATGTGTGCAAACAATGCTCAGTGCCCTTCAAGCCGTTATGGGCCTTATGCTCGGTTTCGCCGGTCCGCTCGCCTTTCTCTGCCGTTCACAGTCATCGTGCATTTCCCCATACATGTGAAACTACACAGACACACATACATGCATTTCCAGGGTGACGAGGGATGGCTACGGGGTCCTTCAGCTTATTGACTCAACATGCTGCAGCCGTGTCCCATTGTTGTTGCTCTGTCCGTTTGGTACCGAATGTCTCTGGAGGTTCATCCTCAGAGCCCTGCTCTGCTGGCAGGGCTTCGATAAAGAAAAGCCTGCGCTGCCGTGGCTAAGACTCGGCTCAGACGACAAGGAGCAAAAGGCCAAGCCTTTGTGTTGACAGAATGATAGCGCTGAAGGGGAAAAGGTGAGGGCTAACAGATTAATGCCAAGGTTTTACTGCAGGAATCTAAGCTCCCCCGTAACTCTCTCTAATGTGCGCACATGCACACACAGTCGTGTCCAGGGAATTACATTGACTCACATTAATTTCCAGGGGATATACTCTTGCCCTAACTTTAAAATGTGATGATTAAGGGGGATTTGCTTTGCATCCCTGTATGGAAGACAAGTCCCTATAATGTAACCGTGTAAACAAACGTGGGTGACTGATACCCTCACACACACCTTCACAAGCTGTAGCTCACACTGGAGGCCTGATGGAACCCCAGACCTGCACACACACAGAAATGCTGACCTGGTTGCAGCTTTCATTCTTTGTGACCCAGCTATTTCTCTCCGCTGCCTCACCTTGCTTTAGCTTCACTCTCTTTTTTTTTCTCACTCTTCTGTGGCCAACTCTCCACCAGCGATGCCTCTCCTGCCAGCCATCACAGCACAGCTCTGCAGACAACCAGAGGGGATGTGAAAATCAAATAATGGTGGAAGTTCACAAACCCACCACCCCAAAATAAAAAATCTGCAACAGTTCAAATTTGTAGGAGTAGAGGGAACAAATCGCAGAACACAAGGTCAACAGGGCCAGACTGAAACAGTACCTGTCATCAGATTTAGATGACAAGCGACCTGGAGAGAGAATCGTCTGTAAGAATGCGTTCTAAACAGATTAGCCTTCGTATTGTGTTTTTTTTTTCTTTTCTTTTTTTAAAATTTCCCCATGGTCCTCACTTATCAATTATTTGCAAGATCCTCCCAGAACTATCAGTAAATACTTTGTCTGTCCCTATTTGAAGGTCGAACCGAGTCAATATCTAAGCCAGGCTGAGAAACTGCATGTGGAGGTGGATCTGGATGAAGCCGTCCAGCTCTGTGTACACTCGGAGATTTGACAGTGACAGCAGAAGTAGTCGCTGTTTAAAGCAAAGGCCTGGATTAACGTTTTACACCAGAGGGATCAGGGGGACTTTTCGTGGGCATCGATATATAAGTTTGTTTTTGTATCTAAACTGCCTTCTGGGATGTTTTCGACCCAGCTGCATTTCCTGACAGTTATACTAACTACTACTGATACGAGGGGAACTTTATTTAGTGTCTGCTGTTCTGTTTGAAAGCTGCACACGTCGAGAATTATTACAGAGAAGTTGTGATTGTCAGGGTGCTGCAGCTGATGCAACCTCCTGTTGTGCCACCGTCCAGAGTGTTTCAAAAGACCGCCCGAGCTGCGCTTCTTTGTTTGTGTGCAGCGATGAAGCAGTTTATTGCCCACGTGCACGCCGTTAATTCACACTTTTGTTTAGCGCAGCACTAATCATGCGTCATTTGATGTAACAGTTTCAAAGCTCCGCCGCAGCTGATAAGTGGATGAAGCGTAATCTATAGATAGCTGGATGGAAGGATACACACAATTTCCTTAAATAGCATCACGGCGACGGCTTGAATCGCTACCTAATTGCCTTGTGTTGGAGATGATTGCATTAATTCAGCAAAGCAGACTCCGTTTACACAGCAGAGCCAGGAGGTGTCAGGTTGCCAATAAAACAGGAGTCTAAGTTTCATCCCACTTTATTGGATGCCGC